ATCTGAGATGTCTTTTTTGTTTGTTTGTTTGTTGTTTTTCTCCGGTACCGGGAACCAAACTCACGACCTTGCGCTTGCCAGGCAGGCACTTTGCCGCTGAGCTAAATCCCCAGCCCTCCACGTTATATTTTATTATAAATGAAAGTCTGCCCATGGAGTTGAACTTTCTCCATTTTTCCATGCAATGGGACCCAGGCAGATCAATTTAATCTGAGGAAAGATGATGCATGGTATATCCATGTACATCTGTGGTTTTGACTTCTCCAGTGTGGCTGACCCCATCCTTATCCCCACATCTAAGTATGGGCACAGACCATCGCTCTGCCAATTATAGTTCATAATGATTGATCCAGGAGTAAGCATGTGACCCAACACAGGCCAATGGCAGTTTCTCCCAGGGCTTTGCCTGAGGCTGTATGGGAAAAAAAGCAGGTGGGAAATGGCCCAAAGAGCATAGTTTGCTGAGCCTTGATCTTTGTTTTTTTTTTTATCTTAACAAATAAAAGAAGGAAAACATATTAACAAGCAGACATCCATTTACAAAATAACATAAGAACAATGCAAACAAAACAGAGTTACAGACAAAGTTGTAGGAAATTAACAATGGTTGTTGTATTACTTATTGATATCTTCAAAGTGGTTTCTCAGGAAAACAAATAGAGACATACAAGATGGATCAAACAAGTAAACATTAACTGTTCCTTTCTGTAGAACAATAGAAGACAGTAGTACAACTATGTTAGCTATCCTGTATATACATACTTACATAATTCCCCTTCTTTCCCTCTCTTTTCCCACACCCCAGTTGCCCTTTACTTTTGAGCATTTTCCTTTCGTTTCACAATGTCTATCATACCTCCTAGTTTTTATTCACTCTTTCAGGTCTTACACTAGTGAGACAATATGCTTCTTACACATGCAGGTCTGATTTATTTCATTTATGAGTATGGTTTCTAGTTGTGACCATTTACCTATAAAAGCCTCGAGTTTATCTTTCTTTATAGCTGAGTAATATTCCATTATATAAAAGTACCACAATTTTTTTATCCAATCCTCAGTGGATGGACATGCTGAGCCTTAATCTTGATTAATCTTTTTTTTTTAATCTTGATTAATCTTAAAATCTTGTTCTTTTGCTCCATTATGAGCTGGATTAGGGGCAAGCTAGATGCTGAGGCAGCAGTGAGTCTCTCCGGTGAGTGTACATGGGGTCACCTACCTTAAGCTTCCAGAAATGTCAATGCTAACATGGCCAATGGAGTTGCTGCACTGGGTCACCAAGGCAGTGGGCCGTCCAGATTGGTCCTTGCCCAAATTCAGAGAAACTGATATGGAAATGCCATATACCTTCAGATCAAATGTGCCCTGTAGAGTGCTGGATGGGAGAAAGGCAAAGCAAACTCCTGTATAAGGGAGATTGCCTTTAAGAAGAGCAACCAGAAGAACACAGACCCAGGTTCCCACTAACTAGCTGTGTCCCTTGTTTGGACCCCTACTTACCTTGAATGAAAACAACCAGGTTTGTGGGGTATGCTATGTGTCAGGCACAGTGCTGGAGGTAGGTTATTGTTAAATCCCATTTCATACATGATGAGACTAAAGCTCAAGCACAGTTGGATCTGGGTCCATTATAGGCTAGACATTTAAGACTCCTGAAAATGGGATCCAGGGAGGGAAGATGTGCCCTGCCCAAAGCCAAGTAACATCTTAACCGAGAGCTACTCACATGAATGCTTTGTTCACCTTCCAATTCCCGCCCACAGACATGTAGTTATTGGACAGAGACGCTCTTATGCCCAGCTCCGGAAGTAGATTCAGATTCCAGTTCTGGAGTACAAAGTGATGGATTTTCAGGCTAGCAAAGGAAGGCAGAATGTCAAATCCAAAAAAGCAAGGGGCATGTCTGTCTCTGCATGGTCCCCAGAGCCCCCTCTAGCCTCTTACAATGTCTTTTAATTGTACTACTTAAACCACAAAGACCATCTGGACATCTCCTGTGTATCTTTCCAGGTCTGCTCAGTCCCTCTCTCCTCCGGGGAGCCCTTTCCAACCCTCTGAAACCAAAGACTTCTCCTCCCCTTTGACACCACCCCCATAGCTAGCTGCTCCTGTCCCTAGTGATCTGATCCTCAGTGCTTCAAGGACTCTGTGAGCTGGCTTTGCATTATGTGTTCTGTCTTCCAGGGGTCTCCAGGAAGCAGCCAGCCCATCCCATTCTCTCGGCTCATTGCTTCAAATAGGAAACAAGGGCTCAAGGCTAAGGATGCAGCTCAGTGGCAGAGCATGTGCTTAGCATGTGTGAGGCCCTGGATTCTATCCCCAAAACCCCTAAAACAAACAGTCAAACACATACTAGTGCTCACAATTTAGATCAAAGATTACTCACTACTAATCTGTGGGCTGTATGGGGCCTACAGATCTTTCTTTCCTTTCTTTTATCCTCCCCCCCACTTTGTTTTTTTTTGAAACAAGGTCTCATTTCAGCTCCCTAAGTAGCCCAGGCTGTCCTTAAACTCATGACAATCCTACTGCCTCAACCTCCCAAGTGCTGGGATTATAGGCATGTGCCGCCCTACCTGGCTTTACCTTTCTTTTCCAATGTTGTGTTTTTAAAATTTTTAATCTGTTGCTGACATTTTAAAATTGGGAAAATTTTACACTAAAAACATGAAAAAATAAACAGCTGGATTTTTGGCTTCTCTTTAAAAAAAATCAAAAGGGAATATTGCTGTTCACTGTTACTTCCAGCATCAATCAATTGCAGGTGAGTAGCAGATGCACCTGTTTGGGGCAAGTCCTCCCCAGGTAAGTGCTACAAATCTTCATTTGCTTAGTTGTTCTCAGATCTACCCCCTTGTCTTCCCTTGCTTTGAGCCATATTGATTAAGACTGACCTGTGCAAACTACATTTCCCAGATTCCTTAGCAACAGCAATTCTAATTAGAATTGGCCAATGGGAAGCATTCAAGGAGAGCTAGTAGAAGGGAAGAGAAAGAATCCAGGATATTTGTTCTCCACTTTATGCCAGGAGTTGTCTTTAGTAGTGGTCTCACGTCCACAATGGGCCAGTTCCTACCAGGAAACCACTCTAAGGCTGGAGTCTCCCTAAAGGACTGACCTAGGGTTGAGGAATGGTTTCTAAGTGTCCCCTTTTCATCTGGATAATGCAGGAAACATGCAGCCCTTTTGAGCAATCCCACAAAAGCTGGCCATAACCCTTTGTCTTTAGTCCCCTGCCGACTCCATGTTGATCCCTTTCCCCATGAGCTTAGGTTCTCATCCTTCCTCCTTGGTTGTCCCTGGGATGGAGAAAGGAGACCTTACCTGTGAAAATCGTAGCTCACCCATCCAACCCAATCTATATTAGAACTTCCTGATAAATCAGGCAACCTGGTGGTGGACAGCTCCTTCTTCAGGGTAGTGACTGCATACTGTTGGGCTGGAAGGAGTGAAATAGAAGGGTATTTGAGTTAGTTATTTGGTGGGAGGTAGCTTGGGTGGCCAGGCTTTGCAATCGCATACACTAGGATAGAAGATAAGATGTGCTACTTGCTATTAATGCAACCCCAAGCAAGTCTTTAATTCCTTGGTTTCCTCACTAGGAAAATGGTAACAATAATTCTGACCTGAGGCTGAGAAGTAAATGAGATCAGGACACAAAAATGTCAGATAAATGGCAATCTTTGTTTTTTTATTTATTCAATCAGAGTCAGACCAAAGGTAGGGGACAGCAGGCTCTTGAGGAATAACTCACTGCAGTTTGATCAGACCTTCAGCTTTATCACTTGCTAGGGTGGATGTCAGCAATGCAGATTCCCAGGCCCAGCCTTGGGAATCCCGGGTGGATCCCGGAAATCTGTATTTTTAACATACATATATCCTAGCAATTTTGGTCTGGTTTGGTTTGTTTGTTGGTTAGTTTTTTTTCTTTTTTCATACCAGGAATTGAATTCAGGGCCTTGCACTTTCCAGGCAGGCACTTGTGCCACTGAGCTATATCCCTAGCCCTGTTGGTTACTTTTTGAGACAGGATTTCACTGTGTAGTTCAGACTTGCCTTGAACTCACCATTTAGACCAGGATGGCCTTGAACTCGTTGGAGCTCCTCCTGCCTCAGCCTCCAGGGTGCTGGGATTACAGGTATGTGCCACCGCACCTGCCCACCCCAGCAATTTTAATGTAGGAAAAAGGCTGATCTAGTCCTATCCCTGTCCTCCCATATTCAAGATGAGAAAATATAAGCCCAGAGGGTGACATCCAAAGTGCTAAACTAGGCAGTGGCTTTACCCCACCCTATGACTCACTGTCTTTGTGACCCCAGCACTCTTTTGGGTAAAAAATCGCATCAGAAGAAACAATCCAATCTCCTTACCATATTCCAGGCCCTTCTTGGTGATTCTGGCCAGGAACCCAGGGTTAGAATTCCCTTCTCCAATCTTAGAAACTCCTGCCAGCAGCAGTAGGACCACTACCACACAGTATGGTCTGGCCACCATCGTTGTCCTCAGCTCTTTCCTGGGCAGAGGTCAGTCAGAGCCTCTTTGTAGGGCCCTCCCTTACTGAAGGTGACAGCAGAGGCTGAGGTGCCTATAAAGCCTGGGGGCAGATGAGGAACTGAGTCTATTGGTCCTTGGGGTAGGAAAATTTGGGACTTTGGGGCAACCCCATTGCCCGCAATGTGAGATATGGAGAAGTTTGCTTGTGAAATCATTTCAGGATTATTTTTAGCTTGAGAGCAGCAGAAGTGGTGCCACACCTCCAAATTCTTCCCTTTCCAAGCTTTCCTGCTCAATGCAGCCACAAGAGCCCCGTCAATCCCTCTCTCAAGCTGAACACCATCCATTCATTCCGTGTTATCTACATACGGAAGTCTAAACAGCCAGCCTGGCAGTGAAGGTCACCACAGGATGGCTGCATGCCACAAACTTCTCCAACTGGATCTTCCACTGCTCCTAATCCTGCCTGAGCCCTGCATTCTGCCTCTGCTAGACTCTCCTGGTACCCTCTGTTCTCTACGTATACTGTGCAGGACACCTTGGGTCAGGTCACAAATACAACAAAGGTACTCTGCACCTCTAAGCTTTCAGACACGTTAATATCTCTTGCCTGTTCTTTCTCTTAACCAGCTTTCTTGAGGCATAATTTATATGCAATAAAATGCACCCATTTTAAGTATACAGAACCATGAGTCTTGATACACGCCTGTACCTGTGTGATCACACTGTAGTCAAGGGACAGAACGACACCACCCCAAGAAATCCTCCTGTGACTCTCCAGTCATCTCCTTCCTCACTGTCTTTCCCAGAAACCACTGCTCTGTTTTCCTTTACTGTAGGTTGATTTTGCCTATTCTAGAACTTCATGTTCATGGAATTATGTAATATATGTTTTTTTCTGACTGTTTCTGTCATGTAGCATTATGTTTTAAAGATTAATCTGTGCGGTTTTGGGTATCTATTGTTCTTTTTCTGAGGGGTTGTTTTTCGAAGCAGGATCTCGCTGTGTAGTAGAGACTGGCCTTAAACTCACAATGTAGCCTATGCTGGCCTTGAACTCACAGCTATCCTCCTGCCTCAGCCTCCCAAGTGCTGGGATTACAGGCGTGCCCCACCATGCCTTGCCCTCTATAGTTCCTGTTTATAGCTGAGTAGAATGCTATAGAACAATCCTTTTAGTTCATGGTATTGTATTTTTATCAAATAGGAAGCATTTTCATGTAGTTAAAAAATCAGTCAGCATAAAAAGATTCATAATGAGGAATAACTCACTGCAGTTTGATCAGACCTTCAGTTTTAGCACTGTTGCCAGGGGCGATATGTCAAAGCAGATTCCCAGGCCCAGCCTTAGTCAATCTTGGGTGGATCCCTGGAATGTATATTGTAACATACTGTATATCCCAGCAATTTAATGTTGCAAACAACATCACATTCCTCTCTTGTTTTGTATATTTTCCTAGTTCCTATCTCTGTTCCATGAGATCAAGGTAAAAATCTATTGAAATAAACGCTAGCGTTTAAGGGCGTTTGAGGGCATATATTTTAGAAGCCATCGAACACATAGAGCAATTAAGACAGTAGCGGAGATTGGGTGTGGTTTTGAAGCATGAGTAGAAGTTTGACAAACAGACAGAAAGGAAAGGTATTCTAGGCAGAGAGAGCAGCGTGAGCTAAGACGTGGAAGTGTAAAGCTGTCCATTCCAGCAGGCACAAGGAACCGGGGAAGAGTCAAGGGTGAGAGATGGGATGGGATGTGATGAGAGAGAAGGATAGAAGACAAAGCAAGAACAGGAGCATCTTGAAGGCCTTTTTAGCCAGTCCTGGTCGAATCATTAACAGCCAATGGTTTTTAATTTTTCAGCAGCTGGCATCTCCCAAGTTCCGTTGAAACCTTTTCCCTTGGGTAATGAGCTCCCTTTCCAACATCTCACCCTGGTTCCACAACTTTGTATCACATTTGCCTTAAGCCTTAGTCTTGTTCCTGCTAAAATTGCACCATGTATTGTGCTTATGCTTCTCCCTTGGCCTCCAGGCAGGATACCCATCACTCCTGGGGCTTGAAGCGCACGCGTGTGTCTGTGTATGTCTGTGTGTGTATAGGCGTGCATGCTCTTCTTTCTCTCTCTTTTCCCATCTTCCCTGCTGCTTGGAACCTCTAAGGAAGGCTCTTCAACCCCTAATAAGCTCTGTCAATGATGATCTCAATTTCAAGCCATGCCTCCGGACAAGGACCAGTGTCAAATCCTCATACCCAGGCCTGTGGCCAAAACTGACACTGTTTGCCTCCCCTTTAGGAGACAGAATATCAGGGAGACCCCTGTTGCTGCTTTTCCTGCCTGTACCCCCATTTCAGCTGTCACCAATGTCCTTCCTCTCTACCCTGCAGCTCAGTAGGCCCTGGTCTAAGATGATAACCATAGGAAAGGAGAAGGAAGTCTGCTTGTTACAGTGCCCCTACATTGTTAAGAGCAGTTCTCTCAGGGACCCTTTACCCTTGGTTCTGTTTAGAGGGAACTAGCAGAGAACACCCCCCAATAGGGTGGTGCGGGAAAGGGCAGAGCTGATGACTCCCACTCTTGTCTACCCTCCCCATCAGGACCTTCTTTTTTCTTTTCTTTTTTTCTTTTTTTTTGGTACTGGGAATTGAACTCAGGACCTTGCGCTTGCCAAACAGGCACCTTTCTTTACAATCCCCAGAAGCGGTTTCATTAAGGCCTGCTAAGGGCAGCTTTGGATTCTACCCAGAGGGGGTCTGGTGGCAGGTGGAAGATGAAGAAGCTCTGTGTTACAGATGCTGCTGCAGGGTTGATTCCAAAATTATTTAGGGTGCAGAACACAGAACTGTATTAGTTTGCTAGGACTGCTGTGAGAAGATACCTTAAGCTACGTGATGTAAACTACAGAAATTTATTTCCTCATGGTTCAGAGGCTGGGTGTCTGAGATCAAAGTGTTGACAGTGTTGGTTCTTCCTGGCTGCTGTGAGGGAGAATCTGTTCCCAGCTTCTCCTTTGACTTCCCGTGATGAGTGGGCAAACACTAGGTTCCTAGGTGCTGTAAAGACATCCTCTTGTCTTTTGCTTGATGTTCCTGTTGCATTCTCCCTGTTTACATGTCTGTGACCAAATCCTCCTTTTCTAGGGGCATGAACTGTGTTGGAATAGTGTCACCAGATAGCATGGATTTTTAACTGTGTGCGAGATGGAAGTTTAATATGGGATAGTTCTTCAGCTGCTTCTCCATTGCTGATGACTCCCACTCTTGTCTACCCTCCTCTTCAGGACCTTCTTTTTTCTTTTCTTTTCTTTTCTTTTTTTTTTTTTTTTTTTTTTTTTTGGTACTGGGAATTGAACTCAGGACCTTGCGCTTGCCAAGCAGGTACCTGTGCCACTGAGCTATATCCCCAGCCCAAGGGCCTTCTAAAGGGAAGGATGCACCCACGGGCTTCCAAGATGGGTTCTTTGACAAATAGAAATCATGAGTTGACAAAGTATAGCTCTTTTAGCATTAGCAGTCCTGAACTTTGAATGCCAGTGCTGTCAGCTCTTAGAGTGAGTGGCCCTTCTTGCTGCTCAGAGCCAGCAGTTACTGGCAGGCTTTGAGGATTCTTCTGGCCACCAGAGGTGGTGGCTCCTGGCATTTCTTCATTGTTCTCCATTGTTTTGTGGCTGCTAGCTGCCTTCAGTGTTAGGAGTTCTGGCTGCTGGTTGCTTTTGGTGCCAGTGTCCTTGAGTGATATCTGCTCTTGGTGTACCAGCTCAGCATGTTCTACTTAAAATAGAATCATGAATGAAAAAATATGCCATTCTGAAGCTGCTTTACTGGGACTTGTGCTGCAGCATAAGGGGGAATGGCAAAGGGACTGAACCTGCCAAGGGTGTAGGGAGGTTGCTTATATAGGAAAAGAGGGGGCTGGAAAACATGCAAACTTTCTGTTTGCTTGTGAGTAGGGGAGGGTCCTTTCTAGACTCAATTTCATTTACTGAGGACTGGGCTGGAGCTGTACTCTGCCTTTTTTTTTTAATGTCTTTTTGAGACAGGGTCTCACTATGCAGTTCAGGCTGTCCTTGAGCTCACTTTGTAGCCTAGGCTGGTCTCAAACTCACAACGATCCTCCTGCCTCAGCCTCCCCAGTGCTGGGATTACAGGTGTGGGCCACCACTCCTGGCTGTACCCTGCCTTTTAATTCTTTTTTTTTTTTTTTTTGATACTGGGAATTGAACTCAGACCGTGCCCTTGCCAGGCAGGCACTGTGCCATTGAGCTATACCCTCAACATGTACCCTGCCTTTTAAGACATATCTTAATAGACAATACCAATCCACAATAGAAATAAAAATACAAACAGTATGAGAAGGTGACGAGAACTCTTCTTTCCACTACAGTCCCCGTCCACTGGCTCCCTTCCTAGAGGCAGCGTTTTTTCTATCTTTCCAGAAGTACTTTGTGACCACAGAAGTATGTGTGACAACCAGAGTCCTCTAGATCTTCTATTTCGCTTTTAACCCCAGAGCTTAGAAATGGTTTCATGTCAACACATGCAGATCTGGCTCATCTTTCGTAACCACTGCAGAGTATCTCATTATATGGGTGTTCACAACTTACTTAACCAGCCTCCTTTTGATGGACATTTGCATTAGCTCCATTCTTGCTGTGATAAACTCTCCTACAAGAAATAACATTTTACAATTTATATGCATGTGTGAACGTGTCTGTGGGAGTTTCTGAGAAGCAAGTATCTGGGTGATAGTATATTTGCAATTACAAGCTTTGTCTGATGCTTGCTAGATGACTTTCAAACAAGTTGAATTGGCTTACATTTGTCTGTCTCATTTTGGAAAGGTCGGAGGACTTTGTTTCGGAAATTGGCCGGGAGTTGAAACACACTTCTCACTTTTAGCTCTACACGTGTCCACTTTACGCCTCATGGACCACTTTCTTGTAGCTCTTCTCTCCTCTAAAAAATGTAGTGCTTTTTTTAACTTCAATAATAAAAAAATTGAAAATAAATTTATTTTAAAATATATGTGC